GTGAGTTTTGAGAGATTTCGCCGGGGGTTTGGGGGGTGAGGCATCGGACACGACGACCGTGACTGACAGCTTTGCCGGGGCAATCTTCGGGCGGCGCTCCCAGCGAAGCCTTCAGGCCCGAGGGAATTCGCATGCGCTCCCAGGCTAGAGAGCCTGAACCTGTCTCCGGCCGAGAAAGCCAAGCTTCAGGCGGCAATGAGCCCCTGCCTTAGCGGGATGTCATGAGAGTGTCGATCTCGGGGTCGTCGTACAGATTCAGGGATCGGGCATCTTGGGTTATCGCCTGTTCGCGAAGTTTGAGGCCCAGGTGGCTTTGCCGGAGGCAGTCGTCAACCTGAGCTCGGGCTAAGCTCGCTGGGGGATGGCGGGATGTCAGGTTCCGGCTGATCGGCTTACGAGGAAGAGCACGGCAAGTATCAAGGAGGAGCGGGCGGATGTAAAGCCGTATATAGTGTTTTCTGAAATCACTGGGAAGCATTGGGATGCTCTTGTTCAGATTGTCTATCATGACTGGCCTTTAGCCGGTTCTCCCCCACTCTTCCCTCAGGAAAAGTGGCTTTCATCCTGGACCCATGGAAAAATTTCGAACATGCAAGCGCGATCGATTTAGTTCGCTGTTTGCAGCAGAAGGACCGCCGACGGCCTCTACGGCTGCCACGGTCGAAGATGCCGGGGGCTTGGGGCTTTCCCTAAAGCGCAGACTAATAATGACTAATATAGGGGCCTAAAAAAATTACCAAAACTATTTTGCGAGTTCTTCATTGCAGTTACAATATAATGTACCCCGAAACCCTATTCCAAAAATTAAGGCCACTATATTCAGCCTTTAAGCCCAATCTGAGCCTCAGCACACCTCTCACCAGCTGCAAGGGCTGTGGGTTTCGATGTCTCCGAAGGGGAGGTGCTGCTGCTGCTGCTGCTGCTACTACTACTACTACTAGTACTACTACTACTACTACTACTACTACTCCTCCTCCTCCCTAAACCCTAAACCCTAAACCTACTACTACTGCAAGGAGAAGCTTCAGTTCACGAGACCCTTTAGCCGGAGGCCCCTCGGAGCTCCTGGCGCCGGAGGACGGAAGCTTCAGATCTTGGAGGCGCTCCGGCCCGAGCCCCTAATATAGGATAGTATAGTGTAGTATAATATAGTATAGTATAATATAGTATAGTATAATATAGTATAACCTTGAATGATTCAGCACTTCGGGCCAAGGCTGCCTCAACACTTCCTTCCTTCCGTTGTTTATTTGTGGCTCCAGTTCAGGTAAAGATCAGTTGCTATCAGCAAGCTGTCAAACACCGCGCTGGGACCAGTACCCGACAGCCCCATGTACCTATGGCCCTATGGAGAGCCACGTGAATCCGAGGTTCGAGGGTCTGCTTACAGCCTTTGTCGACTTTGCAACACACTTTTGCCGAGGCCGGTCGACTTGGAGGTTTGGATGACGGAGCCTCCACCATGAGGCTTTGAGTTGCCCAGTCAGAACGTGGCGGCGGCTTCTCCCTCTCGCAGGATCCTGTAGGTGAGTCAATGCGAGGCATTCCCAATGCACCGTTGCAGGGCTCCGGTGTTTGTGAGGATGCGAGTCTGCGGGAGGCAGCGCCGACAATAACCGACCGCTTTACTGTTGCCTGTATCATGAAAGTTGTCCGATGCCTGCGATCAGCACCTGAGACTCCATCCTTTTCTGGTGCTCAAGCTTCGCATTGCAAGTAGACCGCGGATGCTTCCTCCCAGATACATCTTCACCCGTATCCGTCTCTTCGAACGCTTAGAAGCTTAGATCTAGACGACACAACCTTCCGTTCAATGCTAGCCCCGCACGAACTACGAGCAAATTAAGTTGCCTGTTTTATTCAGCCGGTGGATGTCTGAACCGGAAAGGTAGAGTAGTCTCGTGGCAAGAGGGTCATGTGATGTGGCACGTTGTGGCACTACATACACGCAGCAAGCAGCTTTGCACTTGAGCCTGTGGCAGCCTGGCCTGTGCGTAATGGGAACAGCAGTTCGAACGCCGTAGTGAAGATAAGAATAGTACCGGCAATCGTGGCATATGGCTGTGGTCGTATCAGTAGAATGACTATAGAAAGCAGAGTACCTAAAACCTAAACCCTAAACCCTAAACCATAGAAAGCAGAGTAGTGCACATCACTTTCATCACGTGGGATTGTCGGCGGTGGCATCGCCTTGTATCGCCATGACGAACTACTCCAAGTGGGACAAGTTTGCCGCAGGTGCCTGCGGTCAATACGAGAGCCATTCTGAATGGTGAATTGTGTGGCCGTCGGCCTCTGATAGTTCTTGATCACCAAAGGAAGAATCGCATACGATTGCAGGTGTTCGTCTCGATGTCATTCGCAATCCTTCAACCCCTGCCGCCAAAGCGCTTATGGCAGTCATCCTGCAGGAACCTTACCAATAACTGGCCTCTCGAATTGCCTTTACGGTCTCTGAACTTGTGGGATCCAAAGTTCCAGATCTAGTTTCTGAGCTTGCAAAGACAGTCAGCAGTTTGCACGGGAGACCGCGATCCGCAGATCTGGCCTCCGACACGGAAGAGGAAGAAGATAGGGAACTTGGCGACTACACCGCCAAGACAGGTGTGGGGCCTGGTTCGAGACAGTAAGGGATCTGGGTATCTGGTTTCCAGGTGCGCTTGCATGCAACTGGCCCTGATCAGACAAGCTTGGGCTGCTTGGGAATGTCATGGGAGGTCAGTTGAAGTCCCTGTGCACGCAGCAGGTCCCTCTTCTTTGCTGCACTCCGGGAAGAGTAGTGTAAAGGCGGCAATGTGCGAGCAGCGAAGGATTCAGAAGTTCCGAATTTTCGCTTCCTGAACCCTTGTCGGGTTAGGCTCATTGCTCCTCGAAATCTGTTGAGACTATACTGACTATACTCTACGTTCCTCATAAAACCTTGTTTGCCTTGCTTCTCTGAACACTTCAAGGGTTAAACACCTCCAGCCCTCTGAGTTTGCTACATCCATGTGCCTCCCGGGGACTTCACCAAGAAGGATGCGTGGCAACGGGACTCTGTGCTATCATGAGCCTGTGCACTTTCAGTTGGGGTGGGCGATGGTTTCGTGTTGGCATTTCTGCGCCACTGCAGGTCGGGGTCGTAGCAGGGAATCTGGAGATGTAGTGCATTTAGAGGCGCGCTCTCGCCGTGTCATGCCACGACGGTTCCTGGCAGAGATTGACGTCCATCACTTTGTGGCCCAAGCTGAGTTTCAGCTTTGCACCCAGCCGTGGCAATGGATGCGGCTACTGGATGCGCAGAGCAAGCACGAGAGCACACCCTGAATGTCTGTAATAGCCTTGAAGCTTCCACGTTTCAAGTGAAAATCCCTGACTTCGCTACAGTGATGGATGTGTGCCAAAGGGAATAAAGTGGCAATTGCATGTGCTCTAGGTGGTTGGCCTGGCGATGCCAACAATGTAACATGACCCAATGCTTTGCTGCAGGGTGTGCAGTCTGTGGTGAAGTGTCCGGAGACGCACAGTAGAATAATGCTAGGAAAGGATTGGCAAGGTTTAGCTCAATGTGTGGTGCAGCGTCAAGAGACGTACTGCAGCATAATGCTAGGAAACAAGAGGTAAGATAAGCTCAACCTGTCGCTTGAAAGTCAACTCATGATTCCACAGCGCAAACCTGTGCCAAATTTCTGAGCCTGATGCGTTTCTGTGTTCGGGTCAGGTGCAGCTGATACTTTTCCTCCGAACAACGGAAAGTGCATCCAAAGCCCTTCCCACGCTTCCCTCCCAACCCCTGACTCTTCACAGAGCTTCTGCGACAGACACACGGGCAGGCGGGTCCCGGCACGAATCTGAAGTCACTTTGGTGCCGAGAGGAGCAACTCTGCAAGCTTCTGGAGGAAGACCCCGACTTCGAGGCACCTGGGGGTCGCTATTCACATGCTCTAGTCCTTGGGATATCTTTGGGGGGTAGTTTGTTTTATATGGATTGTTTTGTGAGTTTCTGGTAGATGCTCGGGTAAATGCAGCAGAGCCTTCGTAGCCACGCCACTGAGGCATCGTGAGCATTTCGGTCGCGGTCTTACGAAAGGTAGTCTTGGGTATTGTGCGCCTTGATGCAGGCACCATCGTCGACAGCCGTGGGCAGCTCAAGGCGTCATGCAGGCTCACGTCGCCCATTGCTGCAACCTCCGGTCCATGAGCAAGGGATCACCAGACTACTGTACATACACTATATTATATATACTCTTTCTACAAAATCAATTATATCAATTATATTTTCTATCTATCTATCATGGGATTCAGGCGTGCAAACATAAGGCTGGTGACATGATGTCCTCGCTCACCGAGGCCGGGCTTCCAGCGGAAGGGGAAGTGGAGCCCGGAGCTTGGGCCTCAGAGGTTTCAGTCTTGAGGACCTGCCCGGGGTAGTGTTCTTGAGTAGAGGCACCGATCAGATCTATCATCTCTTCTGTTGCGGTGGTGGCAGATGTGCGCAGCTTGAGGTCGAACGAGCACTGAAGAAGTACAAGTGGTCATCTGTGACACGGCAGCAACTTGCAGCGCGAGTGAGGATGTTCGCCTGTGCAGGCCAACTCCCGAGCCAATATTGGTCGCCCTGTGAATCTGCGACTTGATGATGTGATCGCGCTGAGTCCTTGCTTGTGAAGATCTCAGTCAGTTTAGGGACGAGTTGCCAGTCCAGCCGAAGCCGGACACCGCCCTGCGCAATCTTTCGCAACCGACAGTTTTCGACCCGGCGCATTCACCAGCATTCGCCTTCGCCATGAAGAGGTGTAAGTGGGAAAGAGGGGCATTGTGCGGCTGTAGGGTAGAAGCGAACTAACGGCTCGCTGCATCCGGTCGCATCTCATGTCTAAGGTGACTTCGCAGTTCATCCCAGGCCTTCCGCTTCTAAGCATTTCGAAGCCGAAGCGTCTGATCTTTGTAGCTTTCCAAGCACATGACCCCACATGACCCCACATCCCAAGTCTCCTACTGTATCTTACGCCAGCTACGGTATGCATCCCCTGCAGAGTCTTGGGCGATCTCCTGCAGGCTACGGCGCTGGAGGCTCCAGCGATCACTTGTGGCCAAACCCTTAGATTCCCGAGGGCTTTTAGCTTCGGAAAGGTTGAAGGCTTGGAGGATTTCCAGGATGTCAGGGTTCATCTATCAGCGGGGTCCGGCTTGTAGGACTGCAGGCCTGTAGGCCTGTCGGAGTCTCACCAGGTTTTCAAAGCTCTTGTGGTTCGAGTTCGGTCCTCGAAGCTCGAGATCCAGTTCCAAAGCGTGCACAGTCAATGCACCCTAAGAGTGGAATCGCAAAGGCGCCTCTACTACGATGACAACTTCTTGACGACGCAGAAGGAGCCCAATCGAGCGGCGAGAGCCCTGCTAGGCCTGACCTGCTTCTGGGATGCTGTTTTCGATTTCTGGATGAGCTCCATGTGCAACCACCCGCGCGACACGTCCTGCCGGAGGCTACCAGTCGTTGGGGAGCTTCGTCATTTCTTGCTTTGACAGGCACGTGGGATTCGTGGGGGGGGGGGGACGGGATGGGACGGGTTTGGCCTTCCAGGATTCTTAGGCTTTTGTCGGAAGTCCTCTATGGCCAGCCCTTATATACAGGATTCCGGATTCAAGTCAGTCTGCGCAACGTGCTGCGAGAGTCACGGTCCAGACCGATCCTGAGCTGCTTGAAGTTGCCAGGAGCACCGGGTCTGAGCGGCCAATCAGCCGGAAGGAGGCTTGCGGACTGTGGAGCTTTGAGAACAGTGACGAAAGCGAAGTTACTCTATTTTTGGGAAGTTTCCTGTCTGACCAGGGGCAGGTGGCTTGGCGAGTGCCCTTACATACCACAGTCCTAAGGTGGCTGACCTCATCATGCGGCGGCAGCAAGGTGGTGATGCCGAAAGGTCGGTCAGACTTGCTATTGACTTGATGTTTGTGGCAAGTAAGTGGGATCCCATGTAGAGTCTATAGTCCTCAGAACATCTAGCCTGGTGTGTAACACATGAAATGTGTGAAGGGACAAGTCCGACGCATCTGCCGCAGCTACTGCTGGCTTTGCGTCGCGCGACGTTTCTCAGTTTCCGGTGGGTCTCCCTCGTCGCGATGGCGGCTCCTTGCATGGCTGAGGTGATGACGGCGACCGACACCCTCCGCGCTGCTGTCGCAGCCGGCGAGGACGTGTCGGAGCGCCAGGTGGTGCGGGCCATCAATTCGTCGCCCGGCGCGGTGGTTTCGGCCGCGGCGACGAAGACGAAGGAGAGGTCAACCGGCGGGGACGCAGCACCAGTGGATCCATACCCGGAGCCCCCGGCGGATCCGCAAACTATGTCAGCAGCAGCCGCCGACGATAGAGTCAGTCCAGGCCGGCCACGCGAAGCGGGAGCTGGCGGCCGACTTCGTAGCGCAGGTAGCGGCGCTGAAGGCGCCGGCAGAGAGGAGACCGAGAACCGTCGGGTGGTGGCGATCCGTCGGGTCTTGTGCAGCCAGGCCTGGCATGACCACTCCGACGACATGATGAGGTACTCGGCGTCGACGACTGTCCAGCTCCCGGAGACCCTTCAGACGACCCTCGACGCCTTGGAGGACATGGAGCATGGCGCTGGTCAGGTGGACGGCCAGGGCGGCGGCCTACTACGCAGCACATGAAATGTGTGAAGGACAAGTCCGACGCATCTGATGCACATGCCACAGCTGCTGCTTGCTTTGCGTCGCCCGACGTTTCTCAGTTCCCTCCCACTCCACCCTGTTGTTTGTTTATTTTGTTTCTTCAGAGACTCAAGGGTCGTCGCTCGCTGCAGAAAGCGTCGCCGCCACCGTACAGCCCTACTCGGGCGAAGGCGACGGATTTGGCGCGATGCACTTTCATACCACTCTGAGGGTCTGTCCGTCGTGCCATTTTGGGTAGCACGTCGGGAGTCGAACTTGTCCTGCTTGTAAGTATTTGGCTAAAGCTTTGGAAAAGCTTTCAGTTTGCACCAGCCAAAACGGACTCAACTCCGAAAGCCAGGATCAGCCGGGAACACGAGGATCAAAAGGCCCGCATGGAGACCTTCTCACAGCCGGCCTCCCAGCTTTCCGGGCAGTTTTGACTGCACTGACTAGATCGGCTACCACTTGGTTTTGTCTCGCTGAACTGCTTTTTGTGCTGCCCAGAATGCTAAGCGCCTGAGACGCAAGCAGCCATGCCAACCAACAAGCGCAAGCAGAAAACGGAACTCCGAGGATGGGAGGGAAGACCGTCGAGCTGAGCGGCTGATTCTGCCGTTCCGGTCGAAACAGCTGGGCTCAGCTTCACAGGCAGAGCTCCGCTGGTTAGTAGGCAGGGGTTCCTAGGAAAATCGTTGTTTGGCCAACGAGCTGCATAAGTGCAGACTTCACAGGTTCTTACTTGTGATTGCCAGGGAACCCTTGCAGTAGGACTCCACAAAGACCGCCTGACCGAAAAGGGGTGCACCAAAGTTGGGCAGTTCTTGCGGGCCGTTCCTGCTCCACATCAAAGTTGCGAGGAATACAGTGCTAAAGGCAAAAGCCGTGCTGCAGCCACATCAGCTCCAAGTCGCGGGACCTAAGCAGGGCCTTGGCGTCATGGCCGCCATCGGAAAGCCGGAGGTGTCGGAGCACGGCGAGGTGACGCATCGGCATTGACATTGTGTTCGACCGACATGTGTGTAGGTTGGCGGTAATGCTAATTCATCCGGTTTTAGAGCCGGGGCTTCATGATTACATTGGATGCGTCAGTCCAGTTCCGATCGGTTGGTTGGACGATGTGCTTGGTTTTTGATGTGTTCTTCCAAGCTAAAGCAGCAGACATCGAAACGAAGCGCCCGTGATCGCACCGGATCGCAACGGTTCTGAGCGACATCAAGACACCCTGTGTAAAGAGTGCTCGATTGGAAGAGAGGGTGCTCGTCCAAAGGTCAAGCTCAAACTTCCTCGCCTACTCACGATGCTGCATTGGTAAGTTCGCAGTGCGAGAGTTTCTGTTCTCTTGTAGCAGGCGTCCCGCTTTTCGTGCTAGCATGTTAGAAGTGACAAGATGAGTGATAACAGCCTGCCTTCCACGTGTTCATCAGGTGTTCAAGTCTCGCCCCTATGTGGATGGTGCCAAGACCTTGATTGGTGGCCAGGCAGGGAGAACATCGATTCCGACAAGCTGTAATTTGCACGGTTGGTACGAATCTCCTAAATCCGGCACGGAAAACTTCGATATGTTCAGCATATCACCCTAAACTCGAGAGCCTCAGGACGACACATCGCAAGCGGCACTCTCTCAAGCCCGAATCTTTACGTGGCTGCAGCAACCCCCTTGACTTAGCCCCCTTGTCTTCTTCCGGTACTTGTGCCCATTTCTACCAGGCCCCTCATGTTCACCACAGTTTCCCTCCTGGTAGGTGAAGCCTTGGCCGGGGATTTTCTCGGAGATCTTTTCCCCGGTCTACTGCTCCGAGACCGGGGAGCGCATCTGCATAGGCAGGGGCCTTATGTAGAAAAATAGCCTTTTATGGATTTTTGGGCCATTGTTTTACCTACTTTTGGGGGTTTTGGGCCATTCTTTTACTTACTTTTGGGCGGGGCTTTCAGGTAGGGGACCCCTAGGGGCCCAGAGCTGAGCCGCAGAGAGCCGAGCCCGGAACCAGGCCGACAGGCCACGATGTCGCCCAAGGAGTCGGTCCAGGCGGTGCAGGCGGCCGCGAAGGCGGCTGGGCACCATTATTGTTGTTATCGTTCCTACTGTTTTTACTTTTTATTCTTGTTATTGTTGTTGTCATTATTGTTTATCTATTTGTTTGTTTGTTTGTTGTTCTGTTTGTTTGTTCGTTGTTATTATTATTATTGTTATAGTACTGTTCTCATTATGACTATCCGGTGTAGGGGGCACCTCCAAAAAAGAAAGAAGGACTCGGAGCTCCGAGTCTTTCACGAGCTGAGGCCTGGGACCTGGGCCGCGGCGAGTGGCCCCGGAAGACCCTGGAGCAGCGCGTGGCGGCGGTGCGCGGAAGGGGCTGGGCTTCAAAGCTGGTTCAGGGTTTATAGGATTTTTAGGGTTTTTAGGGTTTTTTGGGTTTAGGG